AGTGCTTCAGTTGTTACCAACTATCAATTTTATCAGACAAAAAAAAAAAAAAAAAAAAAAAGACTACTTTTCTTGTAATAGTACCAATAAATGTAATAAGCTAAAAGTTAATTTTTAAGGAAACAATTTCAGTCCTGGACAGTTTCAGTAACATGTCCAGTCCAATCTAGTAAGCATACAACATACTATTCTATGGTTATAACAGTATTACAAAAATAGCATCATCAGCGAAGACTGAATGTAACACAAGGTCCCAAAAAGGAACACATTTTGACTGCAAGTGATTAATGTACTAAGCCGGGCACCAGTGGCTCACACCTGTACTCCTAGCTACTCAAGAGGCTGAGATCTGAGAATAGCAGTTCAAAGCCAGCCTGGGCAGAAAAGTCTGTGAGACTCTTATCTCCAATAAACCACTAGAAAACCAGATGTGGCACTGTGGCTCAAGTGGTAGAGCACAGGGACAGCGCCCAAGCCCCATGACCGACCAAAAAAAAAGTGATGAATGTATTTATACAGAAGATCTAAACAACACCGACTACAAGAAAACCTTTTTTTCTTTTTGCAACACTTTATATTTTTAATGAGATTTTCCCCAGACATAAGACAAATCTTCACAATGAATTTACCATCTATGGCTGGGAATGTGGTGTAGTGATAAGTGCTTGCCTAGCATGCATGAAGCCCTGGGTTCCACCTAGCATGCATGAAGCCCTGGGTTCGATTTCTCAGTACCACATAAACAGAAAAAGCCAGAAGTGGCACTGTGGCTCAAGTGGTAGTGTTAGTCTTCAGAAAAAGAAGCTTAGGGACAGTGCCCAGGCCCTTAGTTCAAGCCCCAGGGATGGCCAAAAAAAAATAATAATAAACAAAATTTACCATCTATAAACTTGATCCAAAAAAATGACATAATGAATTATCATCCTATAGTAGGATATAATGGGACAGTTATTAAAGGGCAGTTTTATTTCAATAGTAAGCAATTCGAACAGCAGCACACAAATTTAAATATAAATAGCCAATAATATATGACTTAGATCCTCCTCTTCAGCTTTTGTTTGCCATCGTGGTTACCGTGCCTTCCAGAGCTTCTCATCAAGTCTTCTTACAAGACTTTCAGAATCAAGCGGTTTCTGGCCAAGAAACAAAAGCAAAATGGCCCCATTCCCCAGTGGATTCGGATGAAAACTGGTAACAAAATCAGGTACAACTCCAAGAGAAGACACTGGAGGAGAACCAAGCTGGGTTTGTAAGGAATTGCTTCAGATGCCCACATATTTATGCTCTACCATGAACCAGTCAAGCCGAAACATCAATACTGCCTGGACTGATAGTTGGGCATTTTTTAATTGATTTTTTTTGGTTATTTTAATAATGGGCACAGTAATAAACATGTAATACACATTACATTAAAAAAAGACTTAGATCTTGAGTTTTGCCACTGATTTAATTCCTTTTACCACAAAACAGTTTTTTAATTATTTGAAGTTTGGAGAGGGGGAGAAGGGATGATCAAGAAGGACAAAAGGAATGAGTACACATATATACACATATACAAACATGTCATGAAACCTCCCTGAACAACCAAATAATGCTAATAAGAACTGTGGAAAATAAAGCATTCTCTGAAGATCTTTGAAAAGAATATTTACTTCAAAAAATAATCAATATCCCTAAAAAGAGGATCTAAAATGATAAAGCCTCACTAACATCCTAATACAATGACGTTGCCACTTGCTGAATATTATTTGCTAGGCACTAATATTATGCCTTTTACACAGGCATCTCATTTCATATTAGGAAACAAGTTATTATCTCTAATTTACATACGTGAACATAATGATTTGTATGGTTACTTGTTCTAGGTCTCACAGCTAGCAAACAATGGTGGGAATTTAACTGCTTTATGTGAATCTAAAAGCAGTGCCTTTATCCACTAAACTAATCCTTTTCAACTTTCATCACACAGCATATATGGAAAGTGATCATTTTCAAGGCACATAGGATTAAGCTGGAAGAGTTTGGTTAAAAGGGATTTTCCTTACATTGTGATGTCATGAAAAGTAAAATGCCAACTATTACATTAAATATTAAATACTGAATTGGTATAAACTTTCCAAATAAAAATGTTTCAAATTGGGCTGGGAAGTTGGTTCAGTGGTAGAGCGCTTACTTTGCATGCCTGAGGCTCTGGGTTCGATTCCTCAGCACCACATAAGCAAAAAAGAAAAAACCCCGAAGTGGCCCTGTGACTCAAGTAGCAGAGTGCTAGCCTTGAGCTAAAGAGCTGAGGGACAGCGCCCAGGCCCAGAGTTCAGGCCCCACAACCGGACTCCCCAAAAAAATGTTTCAAATTACCACATTCAGAAAGTTTACAGAAAAAAACAAACCAAAACAAAATATTCAAGTATTATTTCAAAGGATGTAATATTCTGATGTAAAAAAATGACTTATGAGCTAAGCATGGTTCACATGCCTGTAATCCTGATTTTGGAAGGCTGAGGAAGGAGGATGAAGAGTTCCAGGCCAGCTTGGGCTATGTGCAGCAAGACCCATCTCAAAAGAAGAAGAGAGAAGGAAAGGAAGAAAGGAGGAAAAAGTGGGGAGGGAGGAAGGATGGAAGAGAAGGGAATTGAAGGGAAGGGAGAAGAGGAAAAACAAAGGAAAAGAAACTATATGCCATTCTCTATGATGCTGCACACTGGTTAGGAAGCCTTTTACAATATTTCTTTCAAAAGAAAACTATGATTAAACACTAATTTGGCATATCAAGATCTTCCCAATAGTATCAAAAGGAAATTCAAATCAAACCAAAGGACTGAAACACTGAAGTCTTCCTTAATCAAACCCAACAGCTAATTAAGTTTGTACATTACGTATAATCAGAAACATTTACCTTGGTTTAATAATGATAATCACAATTAATATTAATTAGGTAGTATTTGTGCATGGCTATGTTCTGTTTTACAATATTATCATATTTAATCCTCATAACAACTCTGAAGTATATCTATTTTCTCCATTTAAAAGATAAAGATGTGTCCCGAGACAGTGGCTCACGCCTGTAATCCTAACTACTCAGAAGGCTGAGATCTGAGGATCGAGGTTAGAAGCCAGCCTTTGCAGGAAAGTCCATGAGACTCTTTTCTCCAACCACTAAAAACCAGAAGTGGTGCTGTGGTTCAAGAGATAGAGTGCTAGCCTTGAGCAAAAAGAAGCTCAGGGACAGTGCTCAGGTCTAGAGTTCAAGCCCCAGAATTGGCCAAAAAAAATCTAGTTAATAACTTCCCATAAGATTATAGCTAGTAAATGAAAATCAGGATCTGAATTAGTCTGACTTTTGCTGTTAATCATGTGAAACTTTATCTCTGTAAGAGAGACACCTTAATGTTAGTTTCACAGTGCTGTACCCCTGAAATATTCCATGGTCAAAACAAAATTATCTGAGGCTGGGAAGGTGGCTCAGTGGTAGAGTGCTTGCCTTGCATGCATGAGGCCTTGGGTTCAATTTCTCAGCATCACATAAGCAGAAAAAGACAGAAGTAGTGCTGTGGCTCAAGTGGTAGAGCGCTAGCTTTGAGTAAAAGAGCCCAGGGACAGCGCCCTGGCCTAGAGTTCAGGACCCACGACAGACCAAAAAAAAAAAAAAAAAAGTTGAAAACCAAATCATCTGCCTGTACATAAAAAGCCACTTAAGTATCTGGCAAGGCACCATGTTATGGTCCTAAAGCCAAAATTTTTACTCTGAAGAGACAAAAGACATAAAAATAGATCCTAGATGTTTATTTGTTTTACATAGCAAACATGTCCAACCTATAATCTATCTTAAAATAATTTCATTCCCACTGCCCATCTTCCCTGCCAACTATTCAGCAATTTCCAATGTGTAAATCTACTGTCCATGAGATCTCGCCTCAATCTCAAACAAGACATTCTTTGAATTTTACTCAGCTCACATCAACTCTATGTACCTTATCATTTTACAAAAACAGAAGAAAGAAAATCTTAACAGGCTAAAAATCAAAAAAGGTGGATGGGCACCGGTGGCTCATACCTGCAATCCCAGTTACTCAGGAGGTTGAGAAACAAGGATCACAGTTCCAAGCCAGCCTGGGCAGGTAAATCTATGAGACTCTTTTCTCCAATTAACCACCAGAAAAAAAAAAAAAAATTAAGGCGGAAGTGGAGCTCTGGATTAAGCAGTAGAGCCCTGAATTTAAGTTCCAAAACTGGTACAAAACAAACAAGTATATTTAGTAAACAAATAAGGTGAAAAAGTACAGACAGCTTCTGCACGCAAGCTCTCTTCCTTTGCACCTTAGAACTTGGCTGAACACAGCAAGTATTTCCTCCATCTGCTTTAGGGTTCTTGGAGAATCCAGGACTCCCTTCCCCTCAGTTCAGAACGCTAACAAACAAACGCCTGCGTCTTTATGTGGCCACTCTGTCCCAGCTTCTCTATTTAATCATTTAAAGCCCTTCCAGCTTTATCCTGTCATCAAGTATCACCACGCTCAAACACTCAAACCACGATACAAGCCCAACACATCACCCCCAACAACCCCCCGTGTTATATGTAACCTCGAACGCGTCCCTCCCGGTTTAGGAACACGCTCTGAGCCCAAGGAAACCCTTCCTTCGTATCAGTTCTTCGTCGTAGGAGCTATCCCTAGATTCCCTAACGCAACCTTCAAAGTCCCCGTACTCCCCAACTCTGGGCTGCGACCGTCCGCGCCCGCAGTTACACCCTCTCCAACCTAATTCCTACACCCTCAAAACCCCACCCCTCACCCCGCCTCCGGGCCTCCACCGCCCACCCCGGACACCCCGCCCCTCGCCCGCCACGCCCTCCAGGTCCCTTAGGGGGTCTTTCCCGCCAGCCGGGACAGACCCCACTCGGGGGGCTGCGGAGCACCGGGCGCCTTCCGGCCCCAGCTGCTTCCCGGTCCCCTCGCGACCCCCCGCCCCGCCCCGCGCCAGCTCCGCTCCCGGCCCCTCACCGAGCAGCAGCAGCTTCACTTCTTTGGCCGCTTTCTCCCCGTCCTCCCGCAAGTTGCGGTCGATCATCTTGCTCCGCTCCACCGCCGCCTTGTCTTCGGCGCTCAACGTGCAGCCCATGGCGGCGGCCGGAGAGGGAACTGGACCCGGCCTCACTCACTCACTCGCTCACTCACTACCAAACCGCGGAAAGGGCGGCCCGGATGGTCGGGACGGCGTCTGCTTGCGGGGCGGTGGCCTTCTCCGTCAGCTCTCCGAGCGTCCCGAGGAACCGGATATCCGGCGCCTACGACACTTCCGGCGACGCCCTGCGGCCGTTACTACTGGAACCACCCTCATCTGGGAAAGAAGGTGAGCCGAAACCGGAAGTTCCCAGGAGGGGCGTGGGTTCCGTGGAACTGCTGGTGGCTTCTGTCTAGGACGCTTCGTACCTGCTCACCCTCATCCTGTGTTACCTTTTCAGCTACCTGTGGGAAAACGGGTGCCTCCAGCTCGAGGGCTTTCCTAAGGTCCCAATAGCGGGTGGGGGCGTGGGCACGGGGGTGGACTTTCTGAATAAGACCCACAGCCTTCCGAGAATCTCTACCAGGCCAGACACCCTCTTTTGTCTCTGGCGGTGGAACTCAGGGTCCTTGCCCAGGTGTAAAGCCTCTGTCTGTCTGGGGGGATGGGAACTAACTGACCTAGGCTTCAGCTGGCATCACCGATATCCATAACGTAAATTATGCCTAGGCCCACCATTTCTTGCTCTTAAAATATATCCTGGTCCTCGCCCTATTATGTGGGAGTTTTCTGTGGGCTGTAGATTTTCCCGGTTTCTATATTGACAATGGGCCACTCGAAAGCATGAGCAGATGCTTTAACCTGAAAGGTGAGTGTTCATCTCTAAAATTTCCATGCTACCTATACTGGAGGCAGTATAAATCAAGTTGCATTAGGGGCTTAAGAATACCTCAATCACACACCCAGAAACAAACTTACTGTATACTCTGACTCTCCTACTAAAATGTTCTGTTGTGATAACCACACAGAAAGAAAAGTTAGTAAAACTTGCCTCTCAGCACTAATGTCACCTGAAAAATGGACAAATCTCCTGTTGAAAGCTCCATTCTGATATCTTCTTAGACTAAGCACCTTGGATATTACTGTGAAAGTGGTCCTAAATTAGCCCTGCAGCCAAACAGCCCCACATTTACTCTCACCATACATTCTGAGAGTGTGTATTTTTTGAAGCCCTGAAATGCCTCCCTGTAGTTAAAAAATATTTCCCTAGTAGAATCTAAACTTAGAATAAGGTCCCATCAGAAAGGTCTATATAATGGTGATCATTAATTAGAAGCATTTAATGAGAACTTTAGTTTAACTGCCTTAAATAGCCTCACCCACCCGTTTTATTAATGTGATTTATTTCCAGTTGGAAACGTCTCCCACTCATTTCCAAATGACTGTTAAAGTGAAAGGGGCTGCTTTTTTCCATTATCAATATTTCTGAGGAAACAGGCAAGAGGAAAGAGAAGAACACTCAGTTACTATTTAGGAACTTTTTGCCAGATATGGCTAGGTGCTTCCATCTTCACAAAAAATCCTGTGAGGTAGGTAATATTGTTCAGAACAATTGCTCAGAACAATTAAGCAGCTTTTCAAGTTCATACAATAAAGTCTAAGGTTTTCATGTAGTATGGGAATCACCTCAATATTATCAGGAGTCAGGAAAAGGCAACTGATAGGATGCTTGCCTTACCCTGTTGATTCTTCAGCTTTCAGAACTAAAGCTTACATATTGAACTTTACCAAGCCATCTTGGTGACTAGAAAACTGTAAGGAGGCCAAAGCAGAACATTACTGGGAAACTTCTCAGTGTAATAAAAGAGAAAGTTTATTTCCTTCATGATCCATTTCTACAGGGAAAAATGAATGATAAATGAATCCATGTATATCTAACTCTAGTAAATGCCAGTGAGATTGCAGTGTCAAGTAATTTCAGCCTGAATTACAGATACTCTTACACTGAACTTCCTTCTTTGATGTATGTGAAGGAAGGAGGGGGAGTATGTCAAAGGGAAAAAGTAAAATGACCTGGAAGCAATGTTTAATGCTCAACGTCCTTCTCTCCTCATCACCCCCATATATATATATATATATATATATATATATATATATATATAGATAGACTCTCCTTATTTCTACTGGAATCACACTGCCATCTGCTGGCAGTTCCTCAGGTCTACTAGTTGATAAGTGGTATTTATTTGAAAGGTTCTTCCCCTCCAACCCCCCCTCAAAAAACAAATGAGGTTCCTTGCTAGGAGCTTATCTTAAAAGGGAAGACAGAAAGGAGAACATGTTTTTGAATCACAGAGGACTCTTCTTGTAGTATATACTGTCTAAGGGATTTCAGCAGAATCATAGACATTCAACTAGAATAATAACCTAGTGGCAGGAAAACAAAAATCTGGAAAATTTCCTAGTTCTAAAAGGGAAAAGCTATATTTGCCCAGTTAGAACCCTAGATACATCCTCTAATATATTTCTCAAGTACATTCTATAGTACTTGGTCAGATCTAAATGCTCTATAAAAATACAAAGTGTCTGATAAAATTAGACTATGAACTCCTTAAAGGCAGTAACCACACAACCTCCCTGTGGGACCCAGGGAATAGTGAGAGTTATATTTAAGCACTGAATGGAACTGAAGGAGTCAATGTTGGTATCAATATAACTTTTTATAAAAAATTATTTATTGGCTGTTTAAAGGGTGAACTGCACCACTCCCCCATTTCATTTCCCCCTCTTTGATGCTCATTGAGCCAGAAATTGGTTCCAATATAGACAGTACAATCCTGTCTCTATCTTAACCCCTTAATGTTACCAGATTCAATTGAGGGAAGGGAGATGGTCAGATGGGCATCCTGTCCAGTTTGCAGTTACTCCCTCTCCATTGGAAATACTACCACCAGTACTAGTCAATACATTCCCTACAGTCTCAATTAGTAAGCAGCTGAGCCCAACTCCTCGCCCTGTCTCCAACCCAGGGCTGGAGGTAGGAGAAAGATTTTAAGTATCACGGAAGCTAATTTTGAGAGCGGTGAATGAGAACGGGGAGGCATTTAATGGACTATGGACCCCCCTCCCCTTCCCATGCCCAACCTTAGTCTTGTACCCGATTGTCCAGGGGGCTGAAGGTGGGTCATTGCCGTGAGGAAAGAGATCAGGGAGGCCAGTCCTAGAAAGAAAAAATTGGCGATATTAATTTTCAGGGTTATTCACCCAGTCTCCCATCCAGTCACCTTCCCAGTTTAAATCTGAACTTCTAGCCTCATCTATCTGACTCCCAATCATTCTAGTTATTCATACTATAAGACAGGGAGAAAAAGCCACATTGTCTTATACTTGTCTGCTGAGATCAAGTCCTATACTTGATCACCTCCATACTGAAAAATCGAAGAGCTTTTCCTGAAGAGTGGGAGACAGCAACAGCTTTCCAGTCTTCTAGTCCATGCACCCTAAGTGCTCTTTCTTCCTGCTTCTGGGAAAACCCAGGAAAAGAGCACACCCAGAAAGTCTTTTCACTATAAGGAAATTTCAACTAGAAAACTAGAAAAAGGCCTGTTTACTCAGCTGCAGTTGTTTGGCTTCAGTTTTGTTCTTTTTAAACCTGATAACAAAACAAGAAGACATGGGTCGTTTTCTTACCTTGCTTGGGTGCAAATACCTCCCTGAACAATTACATGAAAAGTCAAAATATTCTCAGTGATCCCCAGAATAACTTCAAATCTGGCTTGCTGCCCCAATCTTTCAACTTCTACCCTAAGAGACTTCCCTGTTTCCTTGCTATGAAAAGTTCAGCAATTGAGAGGTTCCACCTCACCTTTATGACCCTTTTCTCTCATCACCGTCTCACCATACCCAGGTTCCCTCCCCCAGTAGTCAAAGATCACAGCCAAGTCCAAGGCTTTTGCCACTTGTCCATCCTGTTGGCTCTGGTTCTGACTCAGGAAACACTAAGCAAAATCTGTGTATGGAGACCCCAGCCAGCTAGAAAAAGGTGGTCCCATAGGGGCAGTCCTTGTGATCACGACCAGTCCCCATCCCTATCTCCCTCCAAGTATCCAGTGCCCCATCATGACTCCAGTCGAGGTGAGGGGTCGGGACGGAGGAAGCTGTCCGACATAATGATGTCACTGGTGAGTTGCTGCTCCAGGAACTCAGAGGTCTCTTCAGCTATTTGTCCTGGGATCCGAAAGTCTACAGCAGGAGGTTCCTGCTTGGGACTAGGTAGGGGTCGGGAAACCCAGTTCTCTGCTGGACAGCCAGTCCCTTGGAGGAACTGTAGGAAGTTCTCCTCAATGGAGCCCTCCCGGCTTGGTAGCCTCAGCTCCTCCTCTGGAGCTGGCTTGAAGAAACAGACAAACTGCTTACTAAGCTCTCCCCTAATCTGCCTGTTGAGACATCCATAGAAGAAAGGGTTGGAAGTGAAGCAAAAGTAGCCAATCCAAGTTACTACACTCTCCACCTGTCCAGTCGAGATGGGCTGAGGGCTCAGAGCAACGTAGAGATGGAAAGAGAAGTAGGGCAACCAACAAAGCAGAAACTGTCCTCCCACAGCCAGGAGAACCACCGCTGCCTTCCCTCCCCCAAACGTCCGGTGTGGGGTGGTCTGGGGGGCTCCAGAGCTGGTGACCATGGTAGAGCGGCTACTGAGAGACTCCGAGCGTTGTCGGGGTGTCTCCATCCACGTGGGCAGCGGCCCATGTTGCATCGCGGCCACACGAGCCACTCGGAACATACTGCAGTAGACCACAAGGATGAGGAGCAAGGGCAACAAGAAGTAAAGGACAGCAAAGACCACCACAAAAAGCTGGCAGTAGGCACTGTGGCTCCATTGGAGTGAACAGCCTGGGGGGACACTGGGAGCTCCTCCCTCCCAGGAGACCCTTCCCAACACTGGCACAGAAGCCATGGCCAGGGCCTTTACCCACACACCCACCAACACAGAGGCCACCAGCCCCAGCGTCATGCGCACCTCGTAGCGCATGGGGTGCACCACATAATAGTAGCGCTCTACATTGATGGCCGACACAGAGAGAATGGCCAGGCTGACAAAGCATACACTCAGGAACAAGTAGAGGCGGCAGGCCACCTCCCCAAAGAGGGCGTGGTCAAAGAGGGCAGAGCTGGAGAGCATGGCCAGGGGCATGAGGGTCAGAGCAGCCAACAGATCTACCAGGCAGAGGTGGAAGACGAAGACAAATTTCCGGAGGGCAGGTGTCTTGGCAATTACGGCCATCACAGCAGCATTGCCAGCCACAGCAGTTAAGTCCAGCAGAAGCATGAAGAAGAGGGCTACAGATTCTGAAGCTATGTCCCGCAGCCCCACCTCTGGGACCCCGCTGGCAGTAGAGGGACCTGGGGTTTGAGGGACCCTCCCCAAAATAGAAGAATTCCCTGATGACTGGGGGATGGGTGAGGACTCCATGGGGCCGAAAGAGGACACCCAGGGTACCTCCTGTCACAGCCCCATCCCCCATCCTAGTCCACAGCCCTGGGATGGTGAGCCCAGGCCCAGGCTTCCCAATTTGGTGGGTGGGTGGGTGGGGGGCCTCCTTCTGGAGCCTCTTGGGCAGGCTCTTTTCACCAGCTTTGAGGCTGGGCTCCTCTGTAGGCACAGACCAAGGCAGGCAATGGTGGGCTCAGGAGCTATATTACGTTTCTGGCAGGAGATGGTTCCTGGGTCTGCCCTGGTGACTGGAAAGAAGCAGGCAACATGTGAGACTTGTCCACTCAACAACACTCCATTTTCTAAGTGGCCTCCAGCATCTCTTTTTCCACTTTTTTCCCTCTGTTCTCCACACCCTTCTTTTGGAGAGTTGCTATCCAGGGATTCTAAAGTGTCTGTCTCCTTTCCCCAGGATCCCGCTGAACTCAAGGGCAGTGCGTCAGTTTAGGCTGACTTGTATGGATTTCCTGACTTCTGGGTTCCTCTGAATGAGGAGGAGAAGGAACATAAGATGCAGCTTCCAGTTCCAGGTCTGGCCGTTACTGCCTCGGTGACTCTTCTGGACTTTAGTTTCTTCATAAAGGCATCTGTAAAATGAAGGAAATAGTATCCACTTCACAATTGTTTGCAAGATCCAACGTGACTGGTTACTAACAGTACTCATCATAAGAAGTAATGCTTAGGATCTGTGGCTCAAGTGGTAGAGTGCCAGCAGTGAGCAAAAAAGTTAAGAGACAGCATCAAGGCCTTGAGTTCAAGTTGCAGTGCTGGCACCAAAAAAAGAAGGAAGGAAGGGAAAAGGGCTGGGTGCTGGTGGCTCACACCTATAATTGTAGCTATTCAGGAGGCTGAAATCTACAGACCACAGTTTGAAGCCAGCCCGGGCAGGAAAGTCAATGAGCCTTTTCAGTTGACCATCACAAAAGCCAGAGATGGAGCTGTGGCACAAGGGGTAGAGCACTAGCCTTGAGCAAAAAAGCTCAGGGATGGCACCTAGGCCTTGAGTTCAAGCCCAAGGACTGGCACAAAAACAAAAAGTCATATTTACATAGGGCTTTATTTTCTAGGCCATGTTCCAAGCACTAAGAAGTATATTAGCTACCTTAATCCTAGGGTTCTTATTTCCATTTTCCAGAGATAAGCCTGAGGCCTGGAGAGGTTAAGGAACTTACCCCAAATCACTCAGCAAATAGCAACTTTTGAGTAACTACCCCTAGTCTGGCCCCAGAGCTAGTTCTCTTGCCCATTGTACCAAGCTATGCATTAAGGTGCCCTTCCCATTGGCTGGAATATAATAGACTTCCAGTAAACCCTTGTTGAATTTAAACTATTTATCTCTCAGTACTGTTACCTGAGAGGTACTCAGAGCTGCCACTGTTTGTGTGTGTGTGTGTGTGTGTGTGTGTGTGTGTACTGGGGCCTGGCAGGCCCTCATGTCTTGCTTAGCATTTTTGCTCAAGGATTGTACTCTATCACTTGAGGTACAACTCCATTCTGGCTTTTTGTTATTAATTGGAGAAGAAAAATCTCTTGGATTTATCTTCACAGGCTGACTTCAAACCTGGATCCTCAGATCCAGCCTACTTAAGTAGCTAAGATTACATGTGTGAGTTACAGTGCTGGGCCAGAGTTGCCACTTTGAGAGCTGAGAAGAAGCAGTGAAAACAGAATGACCCTACTAGTAGGAAATTGGAAGGCCAGCTAATGGTTTCCTGTGTCCCCTAAACCCAAAGAGTATGTTACTTAGAAAGTGTCTTTCTCCACCTATTCTAGCTTCTTAAGACTGATGTGGTTGAGCAATGGTAGCCCATGCCTGAAATCCTAGCTGCTTAGGAGCCTGAGATCTGAGGATCATGGTTCAAAGTCAACCTGAGCAAGAAAGTCCATGAGTCTATTATCTCCAATTAACAAGCAAAAAGCCTGAAGCAAGGATGTTGGCTCAAGTGGTAGAGCACTGGCCTTGAGCAAAAAAAGCTAAGGAACAGTGCGCAGGCCCTGAATTCAAGCCCTAGTACTGAAAGACTTGTGTCCCTACTGGTAGGAGGGGAGCTGCTCCTAACCTACCACTCCCAGCTTCCCAAATCTCTGGTTGTTGGAGTTGAGCCTTTGAGGGTCCTGGATCCAAAGTCCTTTTGGTTATAGACTTCTTCCCCATCACAGAATAATGAGTGCCTAGGTGCCTATGGAAGAGGGGCAAAGGTATGGGGGAGGGAGGAAGGAGAACAGAGGACTGCCATTAAGGAAATGGGTATGCAAGAAAACTGGAAGAAATCAGCTTCTTTCACGTCTCCTGATCAAATGGTACATCACATCTGTTTTATGTGCATCATTACCCCAGTTGAATTTGCATATAACTGAAACAGGTTGCCCAATGTAATTAAAAAATTTTGTTCATTTACACATACTATTCTTATAGTGCAGATCCCCTCAATGTAGGGTGCTGTGTTGTGCAACTTAGAGGCAACCTTCAGACAGATCAAATCTGATGCCTTTCTGGGCCACATTTTCCTCATCTCTGAAAGGAATGGCCTCCAACGTTCCAAGGTTTCTATACATGACAACATTTGATTATGAGTTCCAGGGTGTGGAGGTTCGGTGCTTGCTCAATTTATTTTATTTATTTATTTATTTATTTTGTCGGTCATGGGGCTTGAACTTGGCTTGAACGCTGTCCCTCAGCTCTTCAGCTCAAAGTTAGTGCTCTACCACTTGAGCCACTGCTCCACTTACAGTTTTCTGGGTGGTTTATTGGAAACAGTCTCACCAACTTTCCTGCCCAGGCTGGCTTTGAACTGCAATCCTCAGATCTCAGCCTCCTGAGTGGCTAGAATTACAGGTGTGAGCCACCAGTGCCTGGCTTTGCTCAATTTTAAACTTGCCATTTATATGACTTCAATGAAAAGGCCTAGATGGCCTGCCAAAGGTTCATTTTATAGTCAGAGGATTTTGGTGTTATCATAAACCATGTGCTAATCCAACTCCTAATGTGCTATGCATCCAATTCTGTGAATTGAATCAGACTCAAATTGATTAATTGAATTCCTGTCCCCTGTACAAACTCTAGAAAAATTCAGTCAGTCATCTCAGTGCCAATAGAGGACTCTTCTAGAAAGGATAACCCAAGCTCTGATTCAAAGCTTCCATAACTATAAGCAACTACTTAAGGATGCACCTCTCTCTAAGAACAATAGCTCATTTCTCAGTAGAGATGGCAACATCAACTCAGGATCTGCAAAGAAGATGAAGAAAGGGTACATAAGCGGAGATGTTAACTTTTTATAAGACAATCTACCAGGGAAAAATGCCCAAAGAAAAGCTAAAAGACACATCTTCTCTTACTCTCCATGTCATGATTTATCCAGTCTTCCTACTTGTGAGGAGGGCCTAGAGGATGTCCACGAGAGCTAAAGGAGGAGTGGTCCACCCAATGTGTGCGAACAGGAAGAGTCCAATCTAGCAAGGCCCAGCCAGGGTCCCAGATTAAAGAGAAGCAGACATGGTTCCCATGTGGATATGAAGACTGCTATATAGCCATGGTGGAGCCTTAGGCAAGAAGGTGTTGGCTTTTCTCTTTCTCATAGCCACCTCAATCTTGTCAGTATTTCCAGAATGATTCCCAAATTCCAGGAGACAGACCTCCTAAGAGACAGACTAATATGACTGGTTACTTGGGACCTTCCCACTGATGGGCCAGGTTATAAAGAAGATAATGATATCACAAGGGAAACCCAGAGAACCTGACTCCACTCCTAGCTCGTGTCATCATGGCTTCTCCCCCCACAGATGCTCTCGTCATCCCACTGTTTCTTTCTAACACTACCCCCTCACCTCAGGACTCTTAGTACCTGGAAAGCTTTGGCCAACATAGTGACTGGAGATCTGTCATATAGTAGGGCTGTAATCAGGTTCCAAATACCCTTGTTTCAGAATGGGAGATGCACATAAGTGTCCATCCCAAGGCCACAGAGGCGTTGTTGCGATTCACATGTACCTGTGTCTCTCACAGAGCTTCCATCCCAAGGCTGAGAGCTCAGCCTTCCTTTAGAAAAGAGCATGCCCCTCTCCCCAGTCAGGGGAGATTTTCAGGGAGATTTGTTATCTCTCCCCAACACAGTTGCCCGTGCTCAGGACATAGTTGCCCAACAGCCCGATGCCAAAGGACTCATTCCTAGGATGTAAGGGACCCATCTGTAAGACCAGGAGTAAGGGAGATGGAGAATGCTGCTGTCTGTTGCAGGATGTGGCTACTCCTGCCGGCAGGAGGTGCCCATCCCTCCCCCCACCCTCTGGGCTTCACAGATGCCCACATCCCAATACTGCCTTTGGGATAACTGGGAACCTATCCCCTAACAAAACTGCCCACTATAGGCCAGGGTGGCCTAATCCTTGGAATGCTATCCTTCTGTAGGAAGGCAGCACTCAACACCAGGCCCTGGGGCTGGGTACCCCCCCCCCCCATTTCTGGCCTAGTCGGCAACTCCTACCTTTGCTGAGCAGCTCCCGGTTCCCATGTGATAGCTCCTCTCAGCTGATGCTTCTTCAAGGCTGCTGAAGCCTGAACCACTGCAGTGAGCGGTGAGAGGCAGCCGGCTGAGCAGGATGCTCCAAAAGCTTCTGGGTCCTAATGGCCTCCTGCTTCCCACCCAGCCCATTGAAGCCACTTCTAGAGCAAACACCTGGGCCTCATGACCCCAAGCAAAGTGCTCAGGTATGAGCCCAACTTCTTACACTTCTCAAAAGCTTTATGGGGCTAGGTAATGGCAGGAAGGGGAAGCCTTCCCAGTCAGCTTAATGAAGAAAAAGAGCACTTGGGAGTCAGAAAATTCAGGCTCAAGGCATGGCTATGACACTTAATGGCTGTGTGTCTTTGTTTTGGATCCGGTTGTGGGCCTGAACTCGGCCTGGGCGCTGTCCCTCAGCTCTTCAGCTCAAGGCTAGTGCTCTACCACTTGAGCCACAGTGCCACTTCCGGCTTTTTTTTTCTGCTTATGTGA